TCAGTAGGAAGAGTGTTTCCACTTATCCCAACGTACCTTGGTTGCTAATATTCTTTCACGAACGAGATGAAGTGTTGATTGTCTGCAATAGCTAGAGGCAACTCAATGGCGGCAATAAATTTCATCATTTTGGTTCGAGTATTGTCCTCCAAATACTCCCGCGTGGATCGGGGTGAAGTCGTAGAACCGATGCCTAGACTGTGTCGAATTGCAATTGTGTTTGACCAGTTGGAAGAAGTTCATGTCTGGCCGCACATGCTTTGTAGTGGCGGTTGAGATGGATGGTACCAATTTCTTTTTACCATGCCAATCTTTGTTGGTAATATTTACATACTGCTTTAGACTTTGCAAGGTCATCGACGACTTTTCCCGTTGAAATCAACTTAAAGTGATCCCAACTTTTTGCTTATTTTTTGGCCTTTCACTTTCCCCTTGCACATGGGATATTTAATTTGACATCTTCGTCCTCAGGTTCCGCTTCGAGAACGTTAATATCATCCAAATTAGTTGGATTGTGGCTTCCCTGACCGTGAATGCGAATATCTTCAGGGATGGGTATGTCATTTAGATCGACAAATTCATTTGAAAATTGACTTTGTGGTGTCCTAGGCAATTCGCCATGATGTGGCCCACATCCCGTATCGAATAAGTTCTCAACAAATGAGCGTTGGTTCATTTGTTTGATTGTTTATGATGAAATCCAAATATAATAACTAGAAAAATATAAATGTAATGAGATTGTGAGAATTGAAAATTGGATGAATTGAAATTGTAACTAATAAACTGTAAAAATTAAATTGATATTGTATATTTTGCAGTGCAAGAGAGTAAAAACTCGATAAGAGAGTTGAGAAAGTTGAGATTGAGAGAGTTGAAGTAGTGATTGAGTAATTGATATGAAAAAAAGGGGAGAGTTAAGGAGTATTTATAGTAGAAGGGAAAAAAAATTAAAAAAAATAACCGTTTCGGTCACTTTTTCTAAAAATGACCGTTTTGGTCACATTATATAATGAGCCACGAGCCGAGGATCCCGCTCGGCTCACGCTCAGGCTCGTGATTTTACGAGCCCGAGCCATCCAGGAGCTCTATTTCGACGAGCTCAGCGGTCGAGCCGCTAGCTACAAAGAAGAACCAAGACCACTATACTGGCTCAACCCTTTACCCCTCGACCTACTATTAAACCTATTATACTACCCATATATATGGGTGTCTCCTTTTGTGTTGAGAAAACACATGGCTTCTCCCCTCTTGCTTTGACATTGGTTGCGCCTTTAACTCTTTTTTAGCTGCTTCTTGTCGTGACCTCTTTGCCTCTGCTTTTGCCTTTTTGTATGCTTGGGTCTGTTTCTACAACCTGGACATTGGTTTCCTCCAATCCGTTCATGATTACCTCCCTATTTCGGTCCCTTCTTGCTACATTTTGTATGTAGCTTTTCTTGATTGATTTTAATTAGTTCTTGTAGTCCATTTGGATGGATTATCTTGGTCCAATTCGTGTGGTATTGCTGTGTAATTTTCGGCTCTTGATCTAAGCCTCGATCCATCAATTTTGGTGCTAAATCAATGGAGTATTTGATTTCATTTTTATTGATTAAATTCATTATTTAAATGATAGATTGTTCACTTTGTGTCTGTCAATTATCTTTTAGGTGAATTAAACTCTACAAAAAATTGGTATCAGAGCCATATTTTGGCTCTAGTAGTGGTGGATATTATTGATCTTCGTACTGGATTAATCTATGATAAATTGACGTTTGTTCGTGGTGTAATTGAAGCATAGGTCTCCTGATTTTGCAATAAGGATTGAATCTTTAATTAATTTCATATATTTCATAGTTACGTACCACAGACAGGTTTGCTCTGATAATTGGCTAAAACTCTTTAAATTACTGCAATAGTAGGTTATCATATGGGGTGACCAATAGAATTGTGGCCTTGCTTGCTATTAGTATTTATGACTATTTGCATAAATTGTGATCATTTTTTGTGGCTATTTTGACCGTTGTTTAATTTTCACATAGTTGCTAAATTATTTGTGTTATGGAACAGTTACCTTTGACCTCACCTGCTCAATAACTGAAGTTTGAATCTCATGAAAACTTTAGAAATATAGACCAACGTGTAACTGCGACTCATAGAATATTCTCTATTTGGTTGTCTCTTTGAAAGTTGCTTACGTGCTACGTGTCTTATCTGTTAAGATGTCTGCACACCATTTTGACTTGGTGTCTTTAACAATAAAGGTGACTTTTCTATTTGACAACAAAAGCTAAAAGGGATTTTAGTAAACAAAAAATTTCAAAAGCCATTGATAATTCTTTTTCTCCAACTATAACTGAGGATCAGAAAAATGAGTTTTGACGAACTTGCTTATACCTTTATTATCTTACGTTTATCTGATACTGTTTTGCAAAAATTTGACAAATATAACACTTTCAAAAAACTTTGGAAAAGCTTGAGGAGCTTTATTTGACTCAATCCATACCCAACAAACTTGTCTTACTTGAAAGTTTTTTCAATCAAAATTGATCCCTCAAAAGATTTCGATGATAATCTTGACATTTTCAACAAATTAATTCAAAGTAAGGCAAAAGTAGTTATCCCGAGAGATGAATCTAGAGAGATTTACATGCTCTTAAATACTGAACTATCTGAAGTTAACCTGTCTATGAACTTCCATATGCATGAGCAATTCTTGGCTTTGGTGCTTCTTTTCATATTACATCAAAATAAATTTTGGTTTGATCATTTGTATAAGTCTAATCATGGATGTGTAGTTGCATGGGAGCGGAGTCCCATATAAGATCACATTCGTTGGTAGTGTGACTGTTAGCTTTAAGAATGGCGTTGTGTACAAACTAAAGGAAGTTAGGAACATATGATTAGGAATCTAATTTTTGTTGGGAATTTGAGCAACACAGGTTTCACTGGTGCACTTGGTGATGGAGTGTTAAAAATGTTTAAGGGGGCACTTAGAGTATTTAAGGCTGCTAGGAACAATGATGGGTGGTTTAAATTTCATTATCACTGACACTGATCACACATAGAAGTGACATAATAGGTTAACTCACGTTAGTCTTTAAGGACTTAAGTTTGTTGATGACAAGGGTGTGTTTGGTAAGGATTAGGTGTCTGACATACCATTTTGTGATCATTGTGTGCTTGGTAAGCATCGAAAGATGTCATTTGCATTTAGCACACACAAGACATCTAGAGTGAAAATATATTCATACTGATTTGCGGGCTCCCCGGGGTCTAGTGAGCAATCCCACTTTTGGTGGTAATAGATGTTTTCTGTCTATTATTGATGATTTCTTCAAACATGTGTGGATTCATTTGCTTAAAGATAAGTACGAAACCTTTGTGAATTTCAAAAATTGGAAAGTTAAGGTGGAGAATCAAATAGGTAAAAAGGAAAAATATTTGCATGCTAATAATGACCTTGGGTTTTGCAATGCTAAATATTAATAATTTGTGTAATAAATCTATCATCACTAAAATAATACTGTCCTATACACTCCTCAGTAAAATGATGTTGTTGGAATGATGAATAGTACTTTGTTTGCTAAAACTAGATGTATAATTTAATTTCTAGTATGCCTAAGTCTTTTTGGAGTGAAGTTGTTATGACTGCATGTTATCTAACTAATATAACTTATTTTACTGCTTTAAATGGTGATTCTCTATACGAGCTTTGGTATGGTAAATATGTTGATTATTCTATGCTTACGACTTTTAACTGTGTTTCTTTTTTCTCATCAAAGTAAGAAAAAAGTAGAACCTAGAGTTTAGAAGTGTGTCTTCTTAGCTATCCTAATAAAGTTAAAGGATATAAGTGATGGGATAGAAGCTAGAAGAGCATGAGAATAACTATAAGTCATAACATTACATTTAATGAATTTGAGATGTTATGCATAGAGAGTGAGGAATAACAAGAAGCTATTAGGGATGAGTTCCCAGTTAAGGTTGAGTGAGTAAGTGTCCACATCCCCATTACCCTGAGTGAGGTGGACAGTAATACAAAATAATCCACGAAATATAGAGTTAGAATGTGATGAGAAAGTTGTTGAGGATAACCCTATCGACCAAAACCCTCTAGTTGATTATAAATTAGCTATAAATAGAGAGGGAAATCCACATAGAGAACCCCAGAGGATTATAAGTATACCAGAGCCTATACAAGTTATCAAGAACTAATTGATAGAGAACCAAATACCTTTGAGGAAGAACGAAAAAATAGTAAAAAGGAGAGCAATAGCTAAGTGACGTGAGAGAGAATATGAATTCTCTTCTAAAGAATCAAACTTGGAATTTAGTTCGTTTGTGCGTCACAACTTCGTATTTTAGTCAAAAATCATAAATTGTAATAGGTCACAAATTAACCAATTAATTAATCACAATTAATCTTCACCTCACCACCCCACTCCACCACCTCGACATCGTCCAAATTTCCAATGACACCTCACATCCACAACCCACCACCAGGAGGTCACAAATTACATATGTAACTTCTCATATTAAGGGTGTTGCACAAAAAAATTGCAGAATAGCAAATTGAATGAACTCGTTAGTTCGAAATAGTTGATTTAGGTCCATGTGGACTCACTGTTTGTTTTCGCTCAAATTGAACCAAATCATTTCAAAGTAGTTTGATTTTCAAAAATCGCACAACATTGATATGAACCTTTTTTAAAATTTTTAATTAAAAATTAATTTTATTAAGTTATAAATTTTACAATTTTCAGGAAAAAATAAAATACCAATTTACAAGCTATAGCAATTGCAATACAAACAACAAAATGATGATTTGAATTGGGCCATGATATGAGGGCCGACAGTGAATAAGAAAGAGGCCCAATTTTTTAAATTGAATTTCAGACTTGAGAATTAAAAAAGACCCAATTCTTTAATTTTTTTAATTTTTTAATATTAATAAAAAATTAGAAAAAATGAGACATTGAACTTCAAACTTATAAATCTCAGATCCGGTTTCCCCTTCCAAGTGATTTTACGCCCATTGCTTCACATCTTCAAATTTTCTCCAAAATTGATCAAGTTTCTTCCGTCAATCTTCTATTATTTTTTCAAAGATTACTTCACACACATTTTTTTAAAAAATTTGAACCAAAACTCATCAGATTCGGATCATTTTTTACCTACTCCCCAACCATGCATGTACAGCTCCGGTCTTCGGCTCGTCTCACCGCTACCGTACCACGTCCCCTAAATTTCATGTATTATTTCAATTTTCTTGGTTCTTTGAATTTTTGCAATTAATTTCTTAATTTTTTATGTTGGGTTATTAGCTTATTGCATCAATGGTTCGTTTTTAACTATTTGTTTTGTTCTTTTAACTATATGCTTATTGGCTATTTTAACTATATGAAACTAAATTAACAATATGATTGTTCTTTTCCTTAGCTAGTTACCACTTACCTATATTACCTGTTGTTTCTTTTCATAGTTTAGCTTTATTCATTGTTTCTTTTTTCTTTTTATAGATATACATCCAATTCTAGAAGAAGCTGATGCATTCCAATGGAGGATAACCCCAAAGATATGAAAATTAATGGAAAAGGCAAGAAGGGAAACAAAAGGTTCAAAGTGTGGGATCATTTTAAAGTTCGCGAAGGTGAGGCAAAATGTAATTATTGTGGACATTTACAAGCATTATCTGCTGAATTAGTACATTTTAGAATCATCTCACGCAGTTGTGCAAGAAACATCCATGTAGGGTTCAAGATAAAAAGGCAAAAGAGAATGATTAGATATAGCATGTATAAAACATGCATCCTTTCTAAAGGTACTGGTAACGGTGAAGAACCTGTCAAGTTTGTTTAGAAAAAAGTTAGATAACAGATTACAAGGTACTTCATATTCATCCAGATATTATCTAATGAGAGGTTAGAACGCAATTTTTATACTCCTATACTGACCATTTCTTTCATAAACTAGTAGAATTATTGTGTTGGAACCTGAATTTTATGCAATTTTTGTAAAGAGCTACTCGACTCTATGTTTGAGTTACTAATTTTGTAAATCTGATGACTACTTGTTCAATTGAGTATCAATCTATTGGCTACTCCATTTTCTAATCATGAATGTTTGCTTGCTTTTGCTGATGAAGGGGTGCTAGCATGCTGCTACTACTTTTGTTGATGAATCCTAAAGTGGTGACGCTGCTTCTATATTGTTGTTTGTAAAAGTTTGTGTAGGCATGTTGCTAGATGCTAATTTTCTACTACTTTTTTGCCTTTTTGTTTGTATTTCGAATTTCAAACAAATATGAGTCTAATTTAACGTTTAATATTATTAGTTCCCATTTAAATTAATATATTAACTTGTTTTAAATATAGTATTATAATGTCAATAGGTAAATCGTTGATTAAAATCAAATCAACCGCAAATAATTGCTTGGTTTGAAAAATAAAATGGTTTGGTTTGGTTTGGTTTGGATTGAAAAATTTTCAAACCGCGTGAATTAATTTGAGTTGAAAATATGACACAAACCCCCAAAAACGAACCGCATTCTCTTCTAGTCACAAACACTATACATTTCATCTTACCCCACTATCGCAGGACCTATCCCCACAAACTATAGAAATGTGACCGAAGTAATGCTTCATGAATCACCAATAAATTGGTAGAACACTGAGTCACTTCACAGTTCACTCTGCACAAAGTTCGACCTTCAACTATTAGAATTACAGTCTCTATTTGATTAGGGTTGTCATCGTTGTTGGGACCATCGTCGTCTCTTCTATGGCCAGATCAATGGCAGGCATAAAGTAGACATTCCAACATCACATTTTTCTTTGTTTGATCATCAACGTACTTTTAGTAGAAGGCAACGGTGGTGGGAGTGGTGGCAACGAGGGTGGCAGTGAAGGTGGAAAGCGTTTTCCCATATTTGAAATTTTGGGGAAAATTAGGTTAAATGAAAGGATGGCTAGTGTAAAGTGTTGGATATTGGTTAAATAAATCGAGAATTGAAAATCGATTAAAGTGACTTCGTATCGACTTCGACCAAATACTCAAAAGCTCGACTCAATCCGTTTAAGCAAAATTGTTTGCCACTTCGCCGTTTCGGGGCGCACAAACGGGGATCGACCTGCCCGGTCAGGTCGCGAGGGTCGAGGGGGCAGCGCCCCTCGTGGGGGGTCGGGGGCAACGCCCTCGAAAGAGAATTTTGATTTCTCTGCATGTATTGAAGGGTATATTTGGCATTTCGAAAACCAATATCGGATGAATGAGAAATTACGAAAAAGGACGAAAATCAGTGAATAGACACCTTTTCATAAAGGTGGTGCATTGTTTGGAAAGGGTGCATGGTTTGGCCCCAACCATTTCGTCCACACCCTTTCATGGTCTATAAATAGGACCCTTTGGGTGTCCTATTCCTCACAGTTTGATATGCAAAACGTCTCTCATCCTCTCTTCTATCCAAAATCAAAATCATTCATTTATTTTGATTTTCTTTCATTTCATCCTTGGAGTACATAAGCCTAAATTTGGTTCGTTGTACTTGTGTTTTGGAGTGCTACAAACACAAGTGTAGCCGTTGTATCTTGGGAGTTGATTGCCGAAATCCGTAGGCACCGTTGCGGGGCAAACTCGACTTAAGGACAAAGAGTCCAACTCTTGCCTCGACTTTGTCACCATCATTATACTTATTTCGGCGTCACTATTCACAAAATTCTTCCAACAATCTTAAGTCGAATGTCTATATATATTTTGTGAAAGTGACATTCTTGTTTGGTTAAACTTGTTAAGTTTAACTTCTTCTTCACTTCTATTTTTGGTTGATCTTCTGTTTTACGTAAACAGAAATGAATACGGTTCTTAATACCGATACTACTTCGAATGAAACTTCGAACATGGGAACTTCTGAAGGAAGTGTTCCTACCGGTGTGATTCCTCCCGTTGTGAATACAACTACTACTAATGTTGTGGGTGCCCCTACTATCGTACATTCAAACTCCGTTTCACATGGGGAAAAGTCGGAGAAATTTGTTGGGGTTGATTTCAAAAGGTGGCAACAGAAAATGTTGTTTTATCTCACAACCCTCAACTTGGCGAAATTCTTGAATGAAGATCCTCCCGCCATACAAGAAGGGGAAAACAATAGGGCATCTTTGATTGCTTTGGATGCATGGAAACATTCGGATTTTCTATGCAAAAATTACATTCTTAATGGCTTGGACAAAGCCTTATACGGGGTATATTGCTACAAGAAATCTGCAAAGGAACTATGGGAGTCCTTGGAAAAGAAGTACAAGACCGAAGATGCCGGAATCAAAAAATTCATTGTGGGAAAATTCTTGGACTACAAAATGGTAGATTCGAAGACCGTCATCAGTCAAGTGCAAGAATTGCAAGTCATACTCCATGACATTCATGCGGAAAATATGTCCGTGAGCGAATCATTTCAAGTGGCTGCAATTATCGAGAAACTTCCACCCATGTGGAGGGACTTCAAAAACTATCTCAAGCACAAGCGCAAGGAGATGAACATTGAAGAACTTGTGGTCCGATTGAGGATTGAAGAAGACAACCGAAGTTCAAAAAAACAAGTTGGGAATGGCATACCACAAGCAAAGGCAAATGTGGTAGAATCTAGCAACAACAAAGGAAAGAAGAGAAAGCATTCCGTTGAATCTACAAAGAAGAATGCAAAGAAGTTCAAGGGCAATTACTACAATTGTGGAAAGGCTGGACATCGCTCGGTTGATTGTCGCAAACCTAAGAAGCAAGCCCAAGCGAAATATCACCAAATCTGATGCCATGTCTAATTATATATTAGATATAAACCTGTCAATCGTTATTTCAAAATACAACAATGTTCTGAATGCAACCTTGTTGGAAATTCCATGGAATGGTGGGTTGATACGGGTGCAACCCATCACATTTGTGCCGATAGAGGAATGTTCACATCATACACTCCAACTGAGGGAGAAAAATTGTTTATGGGGAACTCCTCAACATCCAAAGTGGAAGGGCAAGGCAAAGTGGTCTTAAAGATGACGTCGGGAAAAGAACTTAGCCTCAATAATGTCCTTCACGTACCGGATATTCGCAAGAACCTTATGTCGGGTTCTTTGTTAAGCAAGAATGGCTTTAAACTAGTCTTTGTATCAGATAAGTTTGTACTTACCAAAAATGATATGTATGTAGGCAAAGGCTATGTAAAAGATGGACTATTCAAAATGAATGTCCTAACTGTTGTGTCAAATGCTACAATCAATAAAACGTCTCTCATCCTCTCTTCTATCCAAAATCAAAATCATTCATTTATTTTGATTTTCTTTCATTTCATCATTGGAGTACATAAACCTAAATTTGGTTCGTTGTACTTGTGTTTTGGAGTGCTACAAACACAAGTGTAGCCGTTGTATCTTGGGAGTCGATTGCCGAAATCCGTAGGCACCGTTGCGGGGCAAATTCGACTTAAGGACAAAGAGTCCAACTCTTGCCTCGGCTTTGTCCCTATCTTTATACTTATTTTTGGCGTCTCTATTCACAAAATTCTTCCAACATAAAGTTGGTTGGAATGGAGTGTATGGTGGTTGGATTGGTGGTGGTCGGGGTTGGCTTGGCCGAATTAAGGTGGGATGGGGTTGTGAGATACAGAGAGAAACTATATATTTTGTATTCATGGATTTTTGCTTGATGGCCAGGGCCATATGGGCTCTGGCCATCATGTAGCGCCCCCTACTGGTGGGAGGGGGGTGTGGCGACCCTGAGGCCTTAGCCAAGTAGCTTTATTGGTGTTTGTATATGTATAAAGAGATAGTTATTTACGTATATTTAGAAAGATGGATTAGTTTTGAAATGTATAGAGAGTATGTGTCAAAGATTTTTCAATGAGTGGTGGTGTGTGGGGGTATGGCTTTCAGGTAATTTTTAAAGAAAAATTTTTGCACCTAATATATGATTAAAGGAAATAATGTTACTTGTAAATAAGGAGTTATTGAAAGCAGATTAATGAGGTGTTGAAAAAAAGTGGGAAAGTTAATTTTTTCGTTGGTTTAAGAGATTTTGATAAAATTATATCTCACTACGTCATTTGTTTGTAAATCAATCTGTAAGTGATGATGTACATATAGCACAACCATTATTAAAATTAAAAAAAATGGAGATTTGGAAATAGGCATGCACAAGTCATAGTACTGACACTCGAGCCGAGCCGAGTTAGGAGGTTGTTTAACCAAATATGTAGTTTGACTAAGCTAAAACATGCCTAGTTGTCACATCGTTATCAAAACTTTCTTTGTTTATTGTTGAGGTGGGTCAACAATTAAGAAACCTACGTATGATGACATGAGCCTCATTCGTTATGAAAGTATTAATCATACTTGACATATATGGTAGTGCTTATTGCAGAAATGGACTAAGTCATATCGTAGACTTTTTTATTATTTCATTGGCTTTTTGAAAGAAATCATCATGATTTTTTCCCATAACATGTATTCATTTGTCATGGCCAAGTTGCAAAATTCCAATACTAAATTAATAATGTATCAATTTGATCTAGAAATGAATCAACAGAACATTCTTCATTCTAGATCTAAATTCTTCACTTTTGTGAATACGAAAATGCGCTAATTGTTCCGTCCATTTAGTTAGAATTACAATAGTGATGTTATTATACAACCTGAACGCGAGGAGATGAGATTTGATTATGGAAATATAACCAAATAGTCCGTGAGATTTTTTTTTTTAATTTTTTTTTTTTTTAAATCGAAGGTTATTTGATCAAGAAACATTGGGTGGAGGTTATTTAACAAATACATGGTTTGACAAGGCTAAAATATGCCTAGTTGTCACCTCATTATCAAAACTTTCATTGTTTGTTGTTGAGGTCGGTCAGTAATTAAGAAACTAACGTACGATGATATGAGCCTCGTTCGTCATGAAAGTATTAATCATGACTTCACATATATGGTGGTGCCTACTCCAGAAATAGACTAAGTTTGTTTCACTGACTTATTGAAAGAAATCGTTATAATTTTTTTTAATATACATATATTTAACATGTATTCATTTGTCATGGCTAGGTTGCAAAATTCCAATGCTAAATGAATAATGTATCAATTCAATTCAAAAATGGATCAACAAAACATTCTTCATTTTAGATCTAAATTCTTCACTTTTGTGAATATGAAAATGTGTCAAGCCTTTTCTCTTCATTTAATTAGAATTACAATAGTGATGTTATTATACAACTTTGAAGAAGAAAAGATGAAATTTGATTATGGAAATAAAAAATAAAAGTTCGTGAGATTTTTT